TTGGGGCTAAACTGAGCAGAATCAATTGACAAAAGAGTCACTTGTTAGTTAACACCACTCAGGATGGTTAAAGTTTATCTCCCGATTCGGTAATATAATAAGAACTATGTCACAGATAGTTTCATTTGTTGCATAGTCATAGAGATGAGCTTGCGATTAGTGGAGGCAACGACAAAATTGTTACAAAAAATTGGCATGCAATAATTCCTGACGAAAAATTTCAACTACTTGGGATGCCTTTGCAAGTAGTTTTAGTTGCTACTTCTGAATGTATGCATCTTCACTGGAGACATGCGCGCGCAATATGTTGTTCTTTCTCTTAGATGAGAGAAAGTACCATTTTGTACTCTCCATTCGCCAGGATTAAGGAAGTTATCGCAAGGAAGGACAAGAAAATGGCAGCTATACAATCTCGACTTGAAGCAGAACTTAAAACACGCAACGCTGAGTTGGAAGAAGCAAATCAGCGCGCAGCTTATCTGGAAGAACTGCTTGATCAACAAAGGCAACAGTTTTTGAAAGCTTCCAATTAATAAAATATTCAAACGACAAAGCCGGTGAAAAGTTTCGCATTTTTCTTCAAAACAGTTCACATACTTGGTCACTTTTGATACAGTCAGTTCACTTTTCACTTCATATCAATATGGAAATTGAAGCGCATATTTACTCAGTCAATGTTTTCCTCACTAATTTGTATGATATAAATGATTAGTTGATACAGCACTTTTTGTAAATGAACCTAAGCATTTATTGGGATAATTTGGCTAATTTCTTTTCATGCCATTTTGAAACTTTCAATGAGCTCAAAAAATCTGCTCATAAATAGTGTCTGGTACAGCATATATTTCCACAAGTTTCCGCTTGTGTGCTCAATTCAAAACCTGTAGATTTTTTAAACGCGGGACATAATTAACACATCGCTTTAGTGTGTCAACACAAATTAGCGAATCTCCGGTCCAATACCGAATACTCCTGCTTTACATGCCTTTAACCTGTAGTTCCACGCAATGAAAACCAACTTTGAATGTGCCTCCTGGAGCAACGCAAACGAGGATCAGTGAAGTTTTTCCCCTTACGCGTTTTAGGTCAAGTCAATCACCCAAACATTGTTAGACTGCATAACACAACATTTATGGTCGTTGGCTTGTTCGGTGGGATGGGAAAATGGGGTTCGAAGGTCTCATC